GTTCAAATGGCAACCTCATAGCTTGTGGGAAATATGTATTTATGTATTAATGCAAAAATGTCCCAAAATAATGAATTCATTAAATATATATATTGTGTTGCTCGGAGATGCAAAAGAGTTCTGCTGTGGCTTTAATAGGTAATATTTGCGTAAAACAGACAATATTATGTTTACAATGTTGTGTTTAAAATATAACACAATATTAACTTTTTATTTACTGAAATGTTGTAAAAAAAAATCACATTTGCACACGTACTATTCTGGAAAAAAACAACACTCGTGTGATATTGCTCTCGCTGCTCATGTGATATCGCTTATCATGTGATATAAATATGAGACAAAAACTCATACAGCGGCATTTTTTGGCCCAATATCTTGAATTGAATAGGCACTTAACTACATTTATGGACTACATAGTTGTTGCCCTGCATCATGCTTGTCAACAGTCAACTGTATGAAATGTAAGATGTTGTACAGGTCTGGGGGCGGGGCCAGTATTAACTGTGTTAATCTCATTATTTTTCCATAACTAATTAATTGAATTAACACATTAAACTGACAGCCAATGCTCTTTTAAAAATGCAGTTAAAACAATGCATTTAAAGATGAGCTACTGATGTATAATTTCATTGCTTAACTAATTATTTAAACATACATTGTAATTATTTTAATTCTTTTCATTAATAAACAGTTTTCAATAAATCTTTCTTTGTCTATTTGAAAATACATTTCTAATTTTAATGTAAATTGAATATAAAACAACACACTGATTCATTAGTTTAATTTAATAAATTGATTCCTTCATTGTGTTTTGAGAGAACGCTTAGTCAGCAGGAAACAGTGGCTTGGCGAAATCCAAATACAATCTGTATGTTTTGATGATGTGTTTGAATGCTCACCTGAGTAGCGGATTCGAAAGCCCTTGTGGCTGGAAGTGTGATCGAAAGACCAGTGCAGGTAAACCTTGTTTGCAGTGCTAGTAATACTAAAGGGAGATGAATAGTTCCCACTTAGAGAAATGAGCAGTGGACTCTGCCGTGAAGGACCTGCAGGATAAAGCAAAACATAAAGTTACCATATATAAGACGCATCTCCGTTCCAAAAGACCATCTCAGACCACATATGTGTTTGTCATTCTGAATTTAAAATGCAATGATTCTTAAGAAACTGGCCCTGATTTTCAAAAAGTGAAGTTATGAGGAGCAGCAAAAAAATATTAAAAAAAACAATCTACAAAGATAAAAAGTGACTTAAATTTGCACGTGTGTCTAATATTTGCAACAATTACCACAATAATAACCCAGAAATTCTTTTACAGGTTATTTTAATATTTTCATTTTACTTTTTTTTTTTTTTAGATTGCACATGCAAATTTGTGCAAGAAACTTAGTAAATCAAAGCCGTTGAGCTTCATTCACACTTCTTTGGACAACTGATCACGGAAGAAAAAAAAAATCCCACTCGCATCTCTTCCTGTCACTGTCAGTAGCCACATATCTTACAAACTTCAAATTGACTTGTTTACCACCAGCAGTGATACCACTGGCGTGTTTCTGATGTGTTTCTGTCACAACAAGCCTCTCCACCTCTCATGGTTAATGCTGAGTGACAGGGCTCTGTTCATGAACTTCACTGGCGGTACTTTCAGATCAGCTGAACTCTGATTCAGTCCAGAGAGGTGTGTGTGTGTGTGTGTGTGTGTGTCTTAAAGGCCATTCCAGACGTCATGTTAGTGTCTGGGCCAAGCTGCGGGGAGGTAAATGGATCTGGTGTGATCTGGCTGGCTTTGGCATGTTGTGAAAAGCAAAGTCTGCTTCGTAACGCAATGGGAGTTGAAAGCGTAATCAGCATTGAGCATGCCAGCTCCCCTCAGGAGTGGCTCACACTGCTCCCAGATGACACACAAATACACACAAGCAAAGGCGCTTTATCAGCCTTAAAAAAAGTGTGTAGCACAATGTGATTCTGTGAGGCCCGGCTGTCATATACTGCACTCTCAGAAAAAAAAGGTACAAAAATGTGTGTGTGCAAGCAGTTTTTTTTTTTTTTTTTTTTTCATGCTTTTCACTCTTTTTAACAATGCTTATATCTAATAGAAATTATTTGAGGTATATTAAGAACAAATAATTTTTTTAATAAACACATTTTTTTTTATTCAACAAGGATGCACAAGAGTGCATAAATAAATAAATGCTATTAAAAATCTATTCATCAAATAATCCTAAAAACATCATGGTTTCTACAAAAATATTAAGCAGCACAACAATTTTCAGCACTGACATGGTCACACTTTAATTTGGGGACCAATAAGATTTTTTCTTGGGCATCAAATCAGCATTTTAGAATGATTTCTGAAAGATCATGTCACACTGAAGTCTGGAGAATTGGCTGGTGAATACCATGTTTTTGCTGTGGTTTTGATTAAATAAATGCAGCCTTGGTGAGCAAAAGAGACAAAAAAAAGAGAGAAAAATTACTGACCCTAAACTTCTGAACATGAATAAACTTACTATATATGCCATATACATTTAATACTATCTCATGTTTACCTGTTTAACGGATGTTTCAAAGTATGTAACAAAATTGCATAATTTATATTGCTTATTAAATTATATTGGCAGGTACTGTAATCTTTTTTTAATTTGCATTTTATTTTATTCATATTTGTTCACATAGCAAAGTTTCAAAGTCTGTTCACTTCATTCTTTATATATTTTTTTATTTTATTTATTTATTTTTGGAATGCTGCCTGACTCAGCTATGGGCCACTTTAATGATGCCTAAAATGTGATGAGCCTCCGTGTGTGTAAAATGACCTTCCTGACCTGTAATCCACTTCCTAATCTCAGTCTAAATGGGATCACTTTGACCCCAGCAAAGCCACTGACCTCAGACTGGCCCTGAATAGTCCTCTGTTGGCTAAAGCAATTTCCTTTGCCTTTTACAAAAGGTTTTTACTGTGTAAAAGCAAAGGTCATCCCTTTTGGCCTCTCTTCAACTGTCTATCTTGCTCAACACAGCAAGGTTGCCTGGGAGATGTATGTCAATAATTGTACTGGAAGGAGGAGAAAAACAGCTTTTTGTGAACAAAAACCATGTCATTTTCGCTATGATGTTTGTTCCTTGATTCAATCTTATTTAATTATATTACTACAACAGCGATAGATAAATAAATAATTTTCATTTAAAGTACTTATAAATTATAAAATGTTATTTTTATTGTCAATAATAGTAATTGTAATAGGTAATAATTAGGGCTGTCAATCAATTAAAAATAATTCATTAATTGTACATTTATTTCTGAAATTAATCACGATTAATCCCACCTAACATTACAATTTTTAAATATACTTTTATATTGCAATAATTTCACATTCAATCTTTAAATTAATGTAGAAACAACATAAAGACAGTATATTTTTAATATTTGTTTAATGGCATCTTTTTTTTATGACTGAAGGCGAGAATCACTGATAACAATACTACTGATGTCTCTAGGTGTCTGATGTCTTTTTTTCTAATATTTAACCATTGACTATACCTTTTCAACATTACAGTATAATTGAGAGCTGTCAATTTTAACATTTATTAGACTTTAAAAATAACTTCTAATTTAAGTGAACTTAAAACAATCTTCTCATAAACTCATTATGATAAATGTCATTTAGCTACCTGTGCCCTTCAGCAAGTAGGGGATACACAGAAATTGAATAAAGTTATCAAACACTAAATTCTAAATTGAATATAGATGAATCTTTAAAGCTACAAAAGTTACTGATTTCCTCTTTTTTTTTCTTTTGTTCTTTGATGAACAGACATCACAGCAGCAGGGTTATTAGGTTATTTCGGCTGCTTTAAGAGCTCCGGCTGCTGAACATAACGTAGATCTGACATGCATTGTATTTTCTCACAACTCTTTACCTTTTCTGACCCACTTCAGGTCTTAAAGTCTGTACTAATGAGCTGACGAATTGAATCGGGTGTGTTAGATGAGGGAGACAGTGCTGCGCTGCTCAAGGACAGTTTTGAAAAACATTTCAGAGACATGTTCTTAAATGTAGCTCATATATAACAAATACTTGCATGCACAGTTTTAAAGCAGCTTCAATTGACTTTTTGGTAACTTCATGACTTAACTGATGCCATAATTATGACATCGCATGCTCGTAGTTTCTTTTGCACACAGCGCGTGCCGCCGCATTTGTGTGTGCAATTGAACAGCACGTGCTACAGTATAAGGCTGACAGGATAGCAAAATTACAGCACTAGTAATAATAATAATAATAGTAATAATAAATATGAAATAATTACATAAGAAATATGATAGGTTTTCAACATTGATAATAATAAGAAATGTAATGGCTGCTGAAAATTCAGCTTTTCCATCATAGGAGTAAATTGCATTTTAAATTACAGTAACAACAACAACAATAACAATAATAATAAACATAATAATAATAACAACTTATTAATTTGTTTGTTTTTATTAAATTTTTTTACATTGTTTTTATTGTATTTTTACAGTAATATTTTGAACTGTTGTGTATATTACTACCATCATTAGTAGTAGTAGTAGTAGTAGTGGTAATAGTGGTAATAGTAGTAGTACCACAGGAATCAGAGGAAAAGATCCTAAGGAAAAGCTGTGATAAATCCACTCACCATCAAATATCTCCAGCTCATCAAACTGTCTGCTGGTCTGGAAGTGTTCAATGGCGAAAGTGATGTTGTAACCTGAATCCACCTTCACCACCCAGGAGCAGGACTCAAAGTGCGGCAGGCTGCTACCCGGTGACTGACTCAGGATTATTCCCGTGGAGGCTGTCAACACCTCGTTCATAGGACAGGTAACTGTAAGGAAGACAGACAAGAGGTAGTTCAGCTCAATACATCACTACATGTGGATTCCAGAAAGCTAAAGCATTTTCTTTTGACTGCATACCTCAGCAATGGTAGCCGTGACGCAAAATGCTAAGATTAGCTGTTACAGACAGGATCTCTCCAAACCCTTAAATATCAAATCAACCTTCAGAACTATTATACTCAATTGCCCAAGGAATACTTGAAAGGAACCTTTATAAAAAAAAAACAAACAAAAAAAAACACAATTACAGATCTATAGCTTCATTCAATATGACGCTTGAACTTCAGATGCAACAGAAAGTGTGCGGCCTATTGATCACCAAACAATTCAAGGCCCAATACAGTCTTTGGTAAAACACCGAATGCAGTCGATGATAACACAAAGCACCCTGGGCCAGTCTGTCATGACACTGAGAGGATTGATCACTGTTGTTCACACGGCTGTACAACCTGGCTCTCAACCCTCAGTCTGCAGTTTCATCTCTCAGTCACTGATATTCCTCAGACTGTGATATTCCTGTGACATTTCCCCACATTTTACCTTGAATTATCAGGCTTTATGCAGTGGCCCGTCTTAGGTGCTTCCCTCAAATCTTGGAAGCCTGTCTCTTATTCTCTATGTAGCTGTCGGAATACAAAGTAAGCATCCAAATACTAACCATAACATAAAAGGATAAACCCTCATCTCTGACACGATTCTATTATTTTGTCTCATTTCTTCTGCATGACGCGGATGACATGGATGAGAGGCCGTGTAAAGCATGTCTGAAGCTGAACCCGGAATCAGACAGGAAGGGACTTTTATTATGATGCTTAAGTTTCGGATTTTAAATATGGATTTTCTATTACTTGTCTTGCTAAATAAACGCTGCTGTTTCAGAGCTCCGCTGGTGTGAATACTTCATGATTGAGTTGATATTTGAATGAGATTATCACAATGGAAGAATTGTTGAGAATTTCTAACCTCACCGCTCACCTCCGCTTATCAGAATATCGACGGATGCAGCGCGCTAAAACCCTGTAAATAACATGACCCACAGTAAACAGTTCTGTTTTTATATTCGGCCTCATTAATTGGCTTTTTAGTCAGTCGTTTAGCACCTTAATTGACTAACATTAAACCCACGGTCTGTGCACTGATTAGGATGGACGTTAATCAAACAATAATTGAATGCATGCTGTGCCCTGTCTGGCTTTACGTGTCAAACCTGAGATAAGTTATTCTTATAATTACATTCAGGTTCACAGTCCAGTGAATTTCTCTGGTGACAATGATTAAATTATAAAAAGTTGCTTTAAAAATTGATATGATGTTAATCACACTTGTGGTTTCTAGTCGAGATTGAGCTTGAGCTCAGCGGACACACAGGAACGATACGTTTGCGGCTTTGACACGTTTCCTTTACGATGGTAAAATATAGAGGCTCTGGGACTGGCTACAGGGCTCTGAGGTGATATAAAATCTGAATGCAGTTTCATTGGAGGACAAAAATTATCATGGATGCATATCGATACCCGTTTGAGCCTATCATCACTGCATAAAGCCTAATGCACTCAGGTAAAAAAATACACCGTCAATAACCTACATCTGTGCATCCTGGAGCTCACGCTCACAAATTACATACTTTAAAGTGTGAGCGTGGGTGTTACAGATCTTTATTTGCTGCCGCATACAGCGCTTTGAAAGCTGGCTGTTAACCTATAACAAACAAAGATATACTGTAAAGCAGCAAACTGATAGATATGACGAGTCTTTTGCGAGCATGTTTACTATATCATAACAGTTATAGGCCCTTGCTACATTCTTGATATTTACATTGTCAGTATATTTGTGTTTAAATCAGTTTATACTGCAAAACATAAAAGGAACTCTTGGCATCTGTGCTGAGGGCTATATTATATGTACTATATATTCGATGGAGAGGTGGGGCAGTATGACAATTCAGTAACAATTACTGTATATATCAATACATAATTTTTTGCTGGAAATGTTTTATGCACTTAAATATATTTATAACTGAAAAACAGCATTTGTTTGTAATTTAAGTTGTAATCAACTTTACTGTTCATCAATTTAATGCTCCCGAATTAAAAAAAAAAAATTCTAAATGGATAGATACATAAACAGACAGGCAGACACTATGAACGGTAGTGTATGCGTGTCATTAGTGCAAAATGTAACACTTGGGTTAAAAGCAGACTGAAAACATTGCAAAATAGTTTATATGCAGCACAGATATATTGTGCTACCAGCTGATGCATTTTTACCATCACACCGCCCAGCTCCAATTCCATTCTGCCCCAACAGAATGGGGAAGAGCATGACCCCTCTAGACAGAATCTCATAAAAATCCTCATCACCCCAGGCCTTTCACTATGGCGGCAAATGGAAATTAACTTGCTCAGGTCGCCCTTATCCCCTAATCCACTTTGAAATGGACTGTCCTACTGTAAAAGAGCGGCTGGCATCTAAAAAGGGATTTTCAACTTAAAATGTCACCCTTCGTGACAATGAATTGCAAATATGGCCCCCACAAGAATATACATTCAGAAAAATGGCAACACACAGCATTCATTTCATGATGTCAAAGAAAGGGATAAATGTCACGCACAAATTGCCAATATAGGCTTGTGTTCTGTTCACCACATGCAGTTTTCATATAATTGATCATTTGTTAAGCTCAGCCCCCTTGGTTACTGTTGCTAGCTCAGGTTGAATGTCCAATAAGAATAAAGTCTCTTCAAACATTGCAATCAATAGTTCATTTTACACAATTTCATCCACATCATCAACTTTAAAGATTTCTTTAAATATATGAAAGATGTGAAAATAATACCATGTGTATCCTCTCTGGGTACCTTGTGTGGCTATTAGTAGAGGTCGACCGATGTATCGGTTTTGCCGATTAATCGGCACCTATAGTTGATTGCTGGAACTATCGGTTATCGACAAAAATCCATGCCGATAGTTTTCCGGGTTGCGTCCATTGCTGGAGCGGCTGAGAAGGGTCTGCTGTCATTACACAGTACGAGAGCGGCCTCTAGTGGTTGAAATCACTGATAGCACGTGCTATTTGTTTAGACACGTGATACTGCACGCTGAACAGAGCGGGAAACTTCAGACGCGGATTTAAATGCAGCCGACAGAAAATCCTGCTGCGCCACAGAGCGCCATTCACATAGTTTTCCTTTAAATTACATTATATTGGTCCCGAATCGTTGTTAATGTACATAATGAATTGTGTATTGTGCATTTTCAGCAAAACGTTTGTCTTTCTGTGGCTCTAATAAAGTCTATGTGCTTCATTTATAGAGCTATAATATAGGTCGCGCTTTCTCTTTCCGTTTGCTCCGTTTTTTAAACACGTACTTCAAACTCATCCATGCCAAATTGTTCATTCATGAAGTAAACTTGTGTCCGTTTGGTGATTAAATAAACTGTTTTAGACCGCTGCTCGAGTTGAACGCG